GGGTGCTGAAGTGTAGATGTTAGCCCTCAGGTGAGGAGAATGTGGGAGCTCTGAAGTGAGAGCCGGTATCCTCCCAGCCTAGCCGCAGATTCAGTAACCAAGCATAGGATTAGTCAATGTTCTTTATGCCTTGACCAAAGGGTAAAAAATATGTATGCTCATATTTGACACAATCCAATTTGAACTGATTCACTTTATCCATTCATTTTAATTTTTTGACAAGGAGAAGGATGCTTTCTTATATATTGAATTTCACGTTAGAAACTTTATTAATAAAATTAGTTATTTAAGAGTTATTAAAATTACATATTTATTTCAATTGCCTATTAGTGACAGATAAACAATTTGAACTATATTGTTGTGATTAAGTATTGATTTTCTAAAATCTTAGTTCGTAGCCTTTAATATTACTCCCTGTGGGATCGATATCTAGGACTCCATTAGAGTCCTGTATTACTTGAGCGATACATAAACTTGCGTTGATAAGTGTGACTTTACAATTATTGAATATTTTATATATACATTTTTATCGAATCTATAACCGTTGTCAAGTTTTTGGTGTCGTTGCCGAAAAATTATATCTTGTAACAGCAGTGTTAAATTCTTGCATTTTTAAGAATATATAAAGTCGCTGTCAAGATGCAAAAGTTTTCCACCGAGAACCAAAGGCTATCACCCAAGGGCTCTTACCCATAGTTTTTCTTTTGATTTTGTGCCTAAATCTTTAGAGCTTTTTGCTATCCTCCAAGATACTGCTTTTGCACAAGTCCTTGGGCTTGTTTTTTTGTACTTTTTTGTACTCTTTTTTTTTTTCGTATAATGCCAAATGCACACCATTCTTAGAGAACTAAAGGCTAGCAACTACTTATTTAGCTTTGAGGCACATATTATCAGCGGCTCAACATGAGCTACATAGGTTAGAAATGCAAATGTCTGTTAAAAAAATTGAGCATGAATTGAAGATGATGGCGATGCTCGATAAATTTATGAAGATGGAAGTTGACATTGGCGCTTCTGAGCCTCTTAAGGTGGATCTACAACAAGAGCATCAGAAATTTAGAGCTTGGTTACAGTCTAAATTGTAGGAACTGACCTAGAATATGCAAAAAAAATATGAAAAGTCTGTAGATCGGAAACCTGGACATGAAGAAAAGATCAAGGCAATAAGGCCCATTCTGTTACCTTGTCTGAAGGGTGGGCCGATCTTTAGTCCCTTCACCAAGAAGCAATTGGAAGTTTTGAAGAAACTTCTTTCTTGAAATATGTATTTTGTATTAACATAAAAAATTATAAAAACTATGCATGTGTGCACCTATCATATACAAAAATGTGATATTTCATCTACAAGTATAGGAGAAAGCTCACTATTCTCATCCACATGCATCAAAAGAAAAGAGCCATGAAGGGCTAGCTTGGCACACAAATATGCTGCCCTGTTACATTCACAAGGCATATGAAAAAATGAAACTTGCTTGACGTTCAAAAGGAAAGCGAAATTCAGAGCATCATTTGGTCTTTGGTGCCAATTGTCCCTCTTTATGGTAGACCGCAAAAAATACATAATGTTACAAAACTTGCTTAAAGAAACTTCTTTCGAGCACAATGGAACGACCTACCAGCTTGATGATACACCAATGTATTGTATCCTCTTATCTTGGTAAAAATAGAAGATTTTAACATTAGATATTATATTCAGGTGCTTATGATCACATGACTGGAGATAGTGTTGCTCTGACCAACTACTAAGAGTTCAACGACTCCAAATTTAGATTTGCCTATGCATCTCACTCTAGGATTGTTGGGAAAAGAGAAATGAAAGTCTCCAAAAATATTCAATTCTCTTTCGTGCTATATGTTCCTCAATTAGATTGCAATTTACCTTCAATTAACAAGCTTACTCATGAATTGAACTATCTCATTGAATTTCATTCTAATTCTTGTGAATTTCTGGTTGTGCATTCAGGGAAGGTGATTGATAGCATTGAATTGCATCAAGGTTTATACCTGCTTAAGGAAAGCTATTTTCTTAACACACTATTGTCTTTTTCACTATATCCTTTCCATATTCTTGATTCTATTGTGTCTAAGCCTGTTGAAAGTCAAGTTTTATTATGACATTATCGTCAGAGTCACCCCAATTTTTATTTTGTTGCAAAATGTACTCACCTTTTTATTAATAAAAAACCAGAATTTTATCTATCATCCATAATGGTGTTTAGGGACCATATAGATTGAAAACCATCAATTTAGCTAGATGGTTTGTCTCCTTTATAGATGACCACACTAGAACTAGTAGGATATTCCTCAT